CACAAATTTAAATAATATATTTTATTGGTGGTTATTAAGTGGCACATATAACAGCTATAGTTATTGTATTCTCCAGTAGGGGATGGTTCATTGCCTCATCAGCTCCTTCCTAAACACACATAATGGCCACTGTTTGGTTGATACAACAATAATACGGATAATGAATAATATGGAATACCTCTGTTCTGGCTAAACTGTCTGTCAGGCAAAAATATTTGTACCAGGTTTCTGTATGTGGACATGATAAGATGTTTAGACTAACACCAACATGAGCACATTACTCCATCACAGCTGGTCCTGAGGGTTCCTGACAATGTTACCTGTGTTAAACTGCACATTGAGAACAGTTGAGTGCATATGCACTAATGTTAGAGTTACTAGTTATTATTTTACCAGTTCAGGACAACTCAACACTAATTTAGCTTTCAAGACTTTGATTGATCATAAACTTGTTATATAGCATCACTCAGTGTTTACAAATGAAATTAAAAGTTTGATTGCTCAAATGATTTGTTCTGATCTTAAAATAGTCTGGGCATTAGAGTTATACTGTGTGACTGCTGTGCATGAAAACACTGCAGAGACTTCCTGTTTGAAACCACAAAGACAAAATGAGCAGAGGGGTCTAGAAAAGTACATGGCCAAAGTATTCTGAGAGCTAAAAAGAGCCTTACACCTTTGGGCTTGTGGTGTACAATCTGCACACTTACAGTAAACAACCTGTGAAGAAGAACAGGCATTGTCAATACACTGAGGGTGGGCACTCACTTTTAGACGAACTAGCTCGTGCCACATGCATCATCGCAGATATTTCTGAGCACGCTACCACGCCATATCGTATCAAACATACTTTAAGGTTGCAGTGTCATACCAATTGTGTCCCACTGACCGTGAGATAGTGTTGAGAGTTTGGTGTGCTTCTGATTTATTAAGTAACCACAAACAACACCCAAATAGTGTTTGTTGTGTGAAGGGGGAAACATTACACATGTACAGACTGTCAATGATGAAGCTTTATATTCCGCTATCAAGTACCTGAGCTCACAGTCCCCACAGACATCAGTTATGTGTGGTTGTGTGATTGTACGTTGTTGACTACAAGTGTAGCGAGAGTGGAAATATGTCACCTCGATCAAAGAAACACGGCTTAACTGTAACTGAAAGAACATGTTTACTTGGTGCTTTGCAAGGTAACTCTTTACATTCAGAATATGGAGGTAAAAAAAGGACAAACTTGTCACTTCTGTTAACACAAACACAAAAAAACAAATGAAACACATCCACTTTTACTGCCTGACCCTGGAGTACACACATTCATTCAGGCTGTTGTCTCTTTGTCTTCTTGATCTGTTGGCATTTTTGGTCTTTAAAGCAGCATAATGGAGGTTGTCTGTATCCTGGTAACCCTGAGAATAAGATATAAAAAGGGTTAATTGCCATATTGGTATATATCTCAGGATTTACTGAACATCTGTTCAGTCTTATGCAAAGCCCTGCAAAAGTAACTTCCTTCGTGAAGTGAAAAATGTAAATTGATTTTGTTGAGACTATAAGACAGGCATTACTCTCCTGTTGTAGTTTTTGTGTTTTAAGCAGTGGACAAAATAACAGGAATACCCTGACAATTAAGCAACAACGTGAGTACAATGAAAATTGGCCACCACTGTACTATCTACGATCAATCCTCCAGAGGGTATGTACCACTTATAATATTTTGAACTGCATATTGCACAGTTGTTGCTGTTTTTTTCTGTTTTTTCTCATGCTCTGTTTGGTTGCTGTTTAATATGTTGCAGTTACAGTAACAGTCATACTTTGAAACACTCACCTCTGCATTGGGAGCCGAGGCAGCTGAGGATCTTGCCCAAGAGTCTGGTTGTGAAAAAAAAAACAGCAACTTCAAAATTTGCTCTGCTTGTGGTGAGAAAACCTATTCTCTTTAATTATTTGGATTATTTGGACTGAAAGTGATAAAACAGTTTATTTGATTTTAAAATGTATCTTCTACACAAACACGACACATGTGAAACCACGGGACAAGCTGGTATTTTAAAATGAATGAATCAAAGAAGACCAGCACTGAATGCTGCTACTTAATTCCACCAGCGAGTCATATTATCAGTGTAAATATAATTAAATGGAACACTTTAGTCAACATACTGTTTTATTTTGACAGCTCCATGTAAAAAATGTTGCTCTTTACCAGTCCTACTTTCCAATGAATCTTTGGCTACAAATCTGTGTCAGTGGTGCACAGTTCACAACGCCGATGATGTTTGAAGCTGATAAAACAGAATAATGAGTATATATTCCCATTGTATGTATCTTACAGTAAGTGGATGTTTTTCAATATAACGTGTAAATCCATACTAATTTACACATTATTTAGGTTGTGAACATTGCTTCCATTACAATATGCCTTGTTCATACTAATATATACTTATTACTATCTATTCCTCTAGGTCGGAGTGAATGAATGAACCAGAACATGAAGTTGTGTTGGCTGATAGATTTTATTTGATGTCTTTGAGTGAAATTTAGTTGAGCAAGTCACATGGTGGAACATGTTGAGTGTCCAACAGTTACTCTTGTCTTTATTTGGTTGACTTAATCAATCATTTCAACTCCTTTCTTTCTGCTTTTCAATATCACATACATTGAACCCACTATCAATTTTAAGGAATGACAGTTTAGCCTACCTGTGCATTGGCAGCTGTTTGCCTTGTACAGTGTATGTGCTGTGTAAGCCAGGAAAACAAGCAGGATGATGCTGAATGCCAAAGCTCCACTCAAGAAATACACCAAGACAGAAGAGTGCACCTCATCTGCAGATCATTAACATATGGAACATGAGGAGGCATTACGGGTACTTTTTTTTTTATTAAATCTGTTTTAGAAAGTATCCATCACTATTTAACAATCTTTGTTTGAAGTCACTTACCTTCAAAGTCCAGCTTGGTCCCATCTCCAAACAGTATGTGTCCACATGAGGCAACAGCACAGTAGTAGGCCAGCATGAGAAAGATTCAGGCTCTGCATTTGCAAGTTGTAGACACAGGTGTTGTTTTGGTTGTTGGGTTCCCTCTCACACTGATCATTACTGCCCTCCATGGGTGTAAATGTGATCCTGGATGGATTCTTCAGAAGTTTTGAACCAGTAAACACTGTGTTCTCCATCACAGGTCCCAGTGTGTACTGTACAGTTCAGAGTCACAGAGCCTCCTGGCTGGATGGTCTCAGATGCTGACTGATGGACCGAAGCTGGGATCTTCAAACCTGAACCCTTTACACTGACAGTAGCTCCCTCAATAAATTCATACACGTAGGAATAGCCACTTATGCAGTAGTATGTAGCTGAGTCTGAAATTTGCACATCTGAGATCTTCAAGTGATTTTTACCAGTGGTAGTTTCCAGTTTAAGGCGTGGATCGTTCTTAAATTCACCATTCAAAGTGCCATTTTTGTCATGCTTATTGAATTTAGACAACAGCTGTGGTTTCTGTCCCGGAGTTTGTTTATACCAGTAAAACATCACTGCCATGCCATCTTTATAGAAACATTCCAAAGTCACGTTTTCACCAACGCTAACAGATCGGAAATGTAGAGATGATGGTAGTTTAGGAGCGATCATATCCGCTGAGGAGAAAATGGAGACACAGTTGCACAGTTCACTTTCTACCATGACTGGAAGAATATCTAACCCTAACCCTAACACCCAAAATGTATTGCAGAGCATTATGAAAAATATCAAAAGCAATCATTTTAAGAAAAAAAAGGGAGACAATGTACAAAAAGTTAGAACTTACCCATTGTCCCCATGAGCAGACATGTCACAAACAAAGCGAACATCGGAGGTGTCATTTTGTTGAAATTGCCGTGGTCGATTGAGAGAATCTCTACACATTCTCTACTTTTCAGAGTCAAGGCTGCATTTGATTGGCCAATCAGAAATGACTTTGAATGATCACATGATCTGTGCCCTCCTCAGTGTTCATTTTGGTCTTTGAGAAAGAATTCTCATGGAATTCAACACAGAACAAGGGTGTGTAATCAACATTAGTTAGAAATTGTACACAAAGAGACATGTGTTATATGTACAAGAGACCGATGTCTTCCAAAGTTAGTGTGCTAGAATTTGCTGCAATGAACATGAGAAAACTACCAAATCATCTGCTTTATAAACAAAGGGACCATGTGACCTTTATCAGTGTTAAATGCACAAAGTTAGACTCAAAAATGTCTCATTGTCTTAAGATAACAAGTTCTATAAAACTGGTTGTGACTGGAATGTGCTGTGAATAGGAGGGACAAGAATCAGACCATAGACAGCCCCCCTCTTCACCTTGCTGCCATGACTGTTTGGTATATCTGGTTACTGACTTAAGGCAGACTTTAGACCTATATTATGCACGTGTATTGAGTCACTGGCACCAGGTGACAAATGCATTTATGTAAAACAATTTTCCACACAGATTGTTCTCATTCATTAAAAGACACATTTTAGTAAAAAAAAAAAAAAAAGCTTGATCTTAAAAAAAAGGTCACATACAATTTAACACTGACCCCGATTGCAGCATGTTTATATTTTTTTAACAGATGAAATTACAAGCTAGAGAATAACTCTTAATATGGTTCATATATATAGATAATGCTTTATATTAAATTAACTTTGCACATATTGTTTATAATTCTGATCTTCATATCTTCAATAAAATATCTTGAAATATTATAGTTATTTGGCAGCCATTTTGCCCATTCCTGTGGCATAGTTTCTGATGTTCATTATACTGAAGGAACATTTAGTTCTTTATTCTTTTTATACCGGTGGATTTAGGATCTGTGTGTTCTGTTCATTGTGAACAGAACAGAACTTGGATTTGAGTATGAGTTGTGAATCTGCTGTTGTCGCTCAAACTGGACATTATCATAATGGTGAGTTTCCTAAAAAGCACAGCTTTGGGTCAAGTTTGGCCACATTTTTAGGGAAGTAAATTGTGAAAGTTGAACTGCTACTGCTGACTACAGCAACATTTTGATCGACTGAACTGAAAGCTTCACTTGATCAATCTGGACTGTTGCAGTTGTAGGTATGTAAAAATTCTTTCACCACACATTGAAGTCTATGCTTTTAGTTTCTCAAGCATGTTTTCTGAACCTAAGACATGTTGCTTGTTGCACAAAGTTATGTGAGCCTGGGTTTGCTGAGGTGCAAGACGCTGTGGCCTGGACGCTACATGCTGGTCTTCCTGTGTTCAAGCTCTGCTAGGACTTGTGTTTCCACCAGTGGAAACTTACACTCTGTAGTTCACACCACCGTCACCACAGGAGTGAAAGGTAAACAGTAAGAGCCGGCTGTAGATTGATAAGGTGCAACCTGTGCTTACGTTTCTGATGTGGAAGATATTTATAGGTCGGAGGGGATTTTTATTGCCTGCATTGTCTATATTTGCGTATCCCAGTGTTTTAACTCTTGGTTTTTTTTTTTTTTTTTTTTTTCAGAATGCTGATCCATGTGACATGCTGACACACACAAACATATTTCTACATAAAATACTGCACAACAACACATTGCACAAAATATTTTTATTTCTTAATTGTTTAATTTACATTACATTACACAGTGATTGACAGCAAGTATATTCATGGAAAGTAGCTTGAATGTAAAGCAAAGCCTACTTCACTCTACTACTCTTTACTCTAGAGTACACACAAACACTCTCCACGCTCTCCTCTTGACGGTGTCGTTCGCTGGTTCTCTTCAGACTCAGAGCAGCATAATGGAGAGCATCTGCGTCTTGGCTCTGCTAATGACAAAACCACAATGGCAAATTATGTGAGAAAAAGAGGAAAACACACTGCAGTTGTACATTTGGCTTCCATCATACAGTTGTTTAACCTACCGTGGTGTCAGAAGCTGCAGAACATGTCAGATGAGAAACTGTTCCTGCAAATCAAAAAACATGAATGATCAGGCCAGGTCAATACAGAAAAATATTTAACATACCTTTATTGTGAAAATCTTACCTTTGCAGACAGAGCATATCTTTTTTTTCAACTTGTACATGACTAAAGCCAAGACAAGGAGCAGAATAATGGAAACTGCCAATTCAGACAATACACCAGGACAGAGGCTTGTAGAACCTATCGTAACATACAGTCAGAGAAATTATTATTTATGAACATCATACAATACACATGGTTCATTTTAAGGCTATGTTTAACTTATGGAAATAGCAATCATGTGCAATATCAGCTATAATCACCTACCTGCAATCTTCACTCTAGTTCCTTGTCCGAACACAATCTCACCACAAGAGGCCAGAGCACAGTAGTACATCCCAGCATCGGAGGAGCTCACAGACTTTATAGCCAGGTTTAAAGTGCAATTTTCCATGTGAGAATCCTTCATACACTTTCCCGCATTGTGATACATGATTGCAGGCTGAGCCACACCATGTCTGAACCAGTACAGGTTCTGCTCCCCTGCACATTTTTCAGTGTATACCGTACAGCTCAAATTCACAGAGTCTCCCCACCGAAATGTCTCCAACTCTGGCTGATGGACAACAGCATGGATGTTAGACAGCGATGTTTTGACATGAAGGAAAGCTCCTTGTCCAAATTCAATTTCGTTGAATTCTAAAATCCCACAGTAATATGTTGCTGAATCCGACAGGCGAAGGTCTGTGATTACAAGATGGTTGATGCCCTCTTCTTCCGCTAAGACCTGAAACCTTCTTTCATACGCGGGGGAGATGGTAGCTTCTGTGCTGTGCTTCATCCAAGTTGATATAATGAGAGGTTTGCCTCCTAAGCTTTGCTGGTACCAAAAGAAGAAATTTACAGCATCATTCCGACAAAGGCATTTTAAAGTCACACTCTGCCCAACTTCAGCTGTTATGACCCCACTGTCCTGAGTTATACCTGAGGTTTTGTCAACAGCTGGCACCTGACCTAAAATTAATAAAAAAGATAAAGTCATATTTATTATACTTTTAAAACCTCTTTCCCTTTACTAACATTATTTTCATGCATGTAGAAACAGTGAATAGATGTAAAATACTCACAGATTTCACTGAGAAGTACAAGAAAAATGCAAAGTGGCATCATCCCTGAAGCTCTGCAGTCTGTATCCTGTGTGTTGACGGACGCACTCGACTCTTATAGGAGACGAAGGCTGTTTGTGATTGGCTAAGCTGACTTCTTTTGCATGAGAACAAATTGTAGTTCTGAATCTAAACCAGAGTCTGCTCAGGTGATCAGAGGTGTAATTGGGTTGATTGAGACTTTATGGTGACATTATTGATGTGGTACACTGGAGGACAGTAGGTGTGACAACATACCATGATGTATACTATGAAAAGGAAATTCTCTCAAGTCAATATTTGAATTGAGGGGTAGAGGTTGGTGCATGTCAGTGTTTTTTTTGTCAGTGTGGAAAAACATGGTTATTCAGTCATGACACAGGTTTGTTAGATTTAGATGTGCTTTTTGGGGGGATGTATGTGTTTAAACAGTTAAGTGGGTTAAAAAGTCAGTGTGTGGGAGAGATGCAGAAAGACAGAACAGAAATTAGGTCAAGTGATTTAACCCATCTAAAGTACATTAAAGTTAATGTTGATAACTTACAGTTAATAGCTGGGGTTACAGGTTGGTCTTTTCAGTGTGATTTTGTAATTCCCATCATGCCAGTGGTGCCCCTGGATGTGGCTTTTGTTCCAATGGGACAGCACCCCATACACACAACATCAGAAGTCTTAGAGGAAACCACAGATGAAGACTGACAACAGTGTTGCACAGTGGCATTGTTGCATGCTTGCTAGCATAGCTAGCAGCCTACTAATTCACAAAAATGGACACGTTTTTGACCGGATGAACACATCTCACTAGACACAAACACACAATGTTGTTGAATGTTGTTAAACAGAACTATAGAAAGATTTTTAATCCGGGCACCCACATAATTACTTATTGCATTAATAATTCTTTTGGGGGGGGATGCCGAACGGTAATAATGCGACGCCAACTGGCCTACGCCCACACCCGCCGTGCTGATATTCACCGTTGTGTCGTCTGCTGGCAAAACTTGGTCCTGCATTCATCCGCCTGCCACTGTCTACCTCCCTGACACCGGTACCACCTACCTAAGCACTGTTGCAGACCATGTACATATGTTCATGGAAACGGTATTCCCTGATGGCAGTGGCCTCTTTCAGAAGGATAATGCACCATGCCACAAAGCAAATATGGTTCAGGAATGGTTTAAGGAACACAATGAGTTCAAGGTGTTGACTTGGCTTCCAAATTCCCCAGATCTCAATCGAATCGAGCATCTGTGTGATGTGCTGGACAAACAAGTCCAAACCATGGAGGCCCCACCTTACAACTTACAGGATTTAAAGTATCTTTCGTTAACGTGTTGGTGCCAGATACCACAGCACACCTTCAGAGGTCTAGTGGAGTCCATGCCTCGACGGGTATTGTGTATTATGTATTGGCAAAAGGGGGACCTACACAATATTAAGCAGGTGGTCATAATGTTATGGCTGTGTATTCTATTCTATGTATATTCTATTCTACGCAGTAATGATTTTGAATGTGTTGAAGGAGACTGAACATTTAGTTAATTTATTTCAAAACATAACATTACAAAAGTCTCATTCAAAACACGGGAATAATGATGAAAATAATTATGTATAACGTTAAAATAACAAATCACCTGGTCTCCGTCGGTGACAGTTCACTCCCAACCCTGGTCACTGGAAGCCCGACTCCGTTGTCCACTTGCCCGACTCTGGTGCTCATTCTGGCACTACTCCCCAGCAGCAATCCCTGCCAGGTCCCCTGCCCCAGCCATGAAAACCTCCTCCTCCCAAAGTGCTAGTGCTAGTGCTAGTGGTGTAAACAAACCTCCCCAAGTACTCACAGTCCGGGTACAGTCAGCTAATAGGGCCACTAACTAGCCTGTGCAGCTAGTACTAATTAGTATATTAGTATGTCTTTGGTATGTCTTAGTATGTCTTTGGACATACTAATTGAGAGCAGCAGTCATTGTAACAAAAATACCGGTATTGTCATTTAAACAGTAGCTGGCTAGAGAGGGTTGATGATTTTCTTTGCATAAGTGTAACATGGTAAAAGAGTTCACTGTTAATATATGAATATAATTGTGTAGGAGCTTGGTTAGAGTGAGAAAAACTTGCACGATTGACTCTGCAAGGTGAAGCAAATCTCAACCCTCCTGAAGGAGAAGATTGCCCCAGAGTGTTGCAAGCTAATGGAATGTCAACACTTTTTGCAATCATCCCTTTTGAATCGTGAAAACGAATGTGAAACAATGTTTTTTAATATTGTCCCTCTGACTTGTTCAGACCTTGGCCATCTTGGTCTGTTCCAGATATCCTAATCCAGCAACATATGTTTTTTTTTTTTTTTTTTTTCTTTAATAACGTAACCTCTCCTCCCTTCAAATTCAAAACGATTGAGCTCCGTTCAGTAAAAGGGTATTGGTTTTAATCAAGATCCAATCGCT